TCAGCTTACCAAGTTTTAAAAGCCATTCACAACACAAACAGTAAGTTTTCAGAAGATAAAATAGGAAAACAGATCCAATTCATTGTGGAAAACTAAAAGAAGCCAAAATGTAGGCCTAATGAGAATGTGTAAGAACAAAATGGGAGACTTGCCCAACCATTTGTTTTTATGATGCTATTTATTATAATCAAAGCAATAGGATGTTGGTCAACTATAAATAGATCAATGGAAAAGTATAGTCTAAAAATCCATGTAGCAGTGTAATGTATGATACGGTAACATTTCAAATCAGAAAAAGGATGGGATATTTACAGTTTCTTGTGTTGTTATTTAAGATAGTCTCCCTATAAAGCCTAAGCTGACCTGAACTCAGTGTCTTCCTGCCATAGGTCCTCACCACCTCCTCCACCCATGGCTTTTAAAGATGTTTAGAGTGTTCCATGATACTAAATTCAAAACTGATTTCAGTGTAGGCCCTAGGCTAAAGTAGATGTTGTATTTGATTTTTTTTTTTAAAAAGCAAGTGTTTATGACATCTCAGGCTGTTAATCTTTTTTTTTTTTCAGTTTTATTAGCGTATATTCATTGTACAGGGGGAATTCGTTGTGCCAATTCCCAATAGTCTTCCATTGTACACTGGTTAGATTGCCCCCAACATCTTCCCCCTCACCCCCCACTTAAAGCAATTGCAAGAGATTTCAGCATTGTTTCATGTATGTATATGAAATGCATCAACCATATTCCTCACCTTCATCTCCATCATTAACCCTCCCCTCTCCAACAGTACCCTCGCACACTCTACCTGTTATACAGTTCTTTCTTTCATTTTTAATTCCAAAGTCAATGTTCAGAGGGCTTTCTCAATATATCTCAATTGTGAATACATTTAACTTTGGTCACTTCAGCCCCCTGTTACTCTTCTTTAACCCTTCCCTCCCCCCACCCAATTATTCAACAACTTTCAGTATATATCATTATATCCTCTACCTACAGAGATGTAATACATTTTGATATTGTTGACTGTCATTCTCTTTTCCTCCCCAAAGTGTTGTAGAATAGTTCCACTATTACAAACACAAACACGTCTTACATACAAATGTGTGTATTATCATGTTTGTTTTGTGCATGTTTATCTTTTGGATCCATCTTTCTCCATGTGTGAGAGAAAACATGAAGCCTTTTGTCTTTCTGAGCCTGGCTTATTTCACTTAATATGATGTTTCCCAATTCCATCCATTCACCTTCAAACCACATAGTTTCATTATTCCTTATGTCTAAATAAAGCTCCATTCATCACTTGTAGGGCATCTGGGTTGTTTCCATAGCTTGGCTGTTGTAAACAGTGCTGCAGTAAACATTTGTGTGTAACTGTCTCTATTGTATAATAACTTACATTCCTTTGGGCATATGTCCAGGAGTGAATTGACTATTTTTAGTTTTTTGAGGAGCCTCCATACTGCTTTCCATAATGGTTGTACTAATTTACATTCTCACCAACAGTGTTATGAGGGTTCCTGTTTTGCTGCATCCTTGTCAACATTTGTTGCTGGGGTGAGAGGAAATCTTAGTGTAGTTTTAATTTGCATTTCTTTTATGGCTAGAGAGGTTGAGCACTTCTCACATTAGCCATTTCTACCTCTTCGTTAGAAAATTCCCTATTCAATTAATGGGCCCATTTCTTTAGGATGTTATGTTGATTCTTTGGGGGTTGAGTGTTTTGAGTTCCCTATAGATTCTGGATATTAGCCACTTATTAGATGACTATCTAGCCCATTGTTAATCTTAATATTTTCTAAAATTGTTCTCATCCTGCTGCTTCCTGACTGTTGGGTTTTACTTGCCCATTCCCAGATCTCAGCTCAAGCACTGAATAGATGTTCACATTGAGATTTTTTTCTTCCAAACTTTGCTTTTTGTTGGCAACTTATGGATTATAATCATTTCAAATATTTTTAAGCTTCTACCTATGAATTAGAAATTTTTAACATGTGATGTTGATCCCTTTTTCTGTTAGTGGTGGTAGGTTCCCCCCTCCCTCTTTTAATCTCTTGTATAAATGGTGGAGTTGATTTACTATATTAAGCCTGTAGAGAAACTGTCACTACCCAAAGGGCTTCTAAGATGTTGCTTAGCTACTGCTCGTTAAACAAATATCCTAGATGTTTTACTCTGGATATTATCCACATAGAAAAGCTAGTACTTGAAATTCTTGTACTTAAAGCCTTTCTAGCTTTTCCTCTTTATTTCTTAAAAAAGATTGTAAAACACTATAAACAAAAGAAAATGATAGCTTTGAATTTTTAATTGCCTATTATAAAATGACATTGTACTACTTTTATATTTTGAAGAGCTGTCTAAGGGTTTCTATCAGTAGCTTTCAGAAGAAGTAGAAAATAAGTTTACCCAGAACTAGAGTTTTTTACCATGACAAAATGAAGTAATGGAAGAAGTGAAATATGTGTCGTGAAGTCTAACCTAGCCAGGTTTAAACTCTGACACTATTACTTAAATTATAGAAGCCTTGAGGAAGAAGAAGCCACTCTCAGTGCTTCCTGATAAAATAGGAATAATAATTTCCTTATGGGAGAGTTGTTTTCATTAACTGATTTTTTTATTATTGTATTGTTGTACTGGGGGAACATTGTGACATGTCCAAAAGTTCTTTCAATCTGTCATAGTTGATTGATTGAGCATGGTATTGAGGATTGAACCTATAGTCTTACTCCTGGTAGGCAAACTCTCCACTACTTGAGCTATGCTACTAGCCTAGAAGAGCTATTTTTGAATACCTTACTATCTGAAGAAAGAAACTTAGTACATTGTTAGCCAACCAACAGGAAAATTGTTGGTTTTAACATTACATTGCCAATGCTTCCCTTTGTTCTCTAGTTTATCTCACATTAGAAATAGTGCTTTAAATATTTCCTTCCAAGGACTGGACATGTGGCTCAACCCATTGAGAGCCTGCCTAGTTAGCAAGTGTGAAAGCCTGAGTTCAAATTCCAGTCCCACCAAAAAGAAAAAAAATCAGCCCTGCACCAGTGGCTTATACCAATCCTAGCTACTTGGGAGACTGAGATCAGGAGGATCTCAGTTTGAGGCCAGCCCAAACAAATAGTTAAGGAGACCCCCATCTGCAAAATACCCAGAACAAAATGGACTGAAAGTAGAGCTGCTTTTCTAAGCACAAAGCCCTAAGTTCAAACCCTAGTCCTACACAAAAACAAAACAAAAAAAGTCTACCATGCTTAGGAAGTGTTCTAGACTAACATGAATTCTTCTCTGTTGCTACCTGCAACAAATCACCCAATCTCTCTATCCATATATTAATGATACCTCTTTTGTAAGATAAGGAATTTAGGTAAGTTATTTCTCAATTTCTTTTCCTGCTATAAAATGGTATGGATTATTTTCTTTACCTTTTCTTTAAGTCTAGAATTAAAATATTATCAGGAATTTCATAGAAAACAGTAGTATACTTAGGATATACTATTTTCCATTTAATGACAAAATATAAATAAGGTCCCTCTTTATAGATGTGCACACTTAATAAGTAGAGGGCAAGTCTTGTCTTCCCTTATTCTCATGGAGGCTCCTTCATGTCCTTGACAATATTATATTATCTTTTATTCAGGCAGATGTTTGCTTAGTGCCTGCCACTATCTAGTAAACACAGGATACAGAGCTTCCTGCGTCCTCACTATGTTGTCAGCAGGAATTGTTCTCCTAGCATGTTGACATGTAGCAATGCACCCCGCATTTTAATCTCTAGAGTGCACATGAGCTTCAGTGTCCAGGGTATGTACTGGGGTTTTGTTATATAGGCATGATTGATGGAAATGTGCAACAAGATTGAACTCAGTCTTCAGTCCTGCTCCATCTGAAATTCATGCTGTTATCAAGGCCCTCAAAGCTTTTCATCCTGAGTCCTCTAGTTAGCTAAGAGGCCCACTAGATAAACTGGTTAACATAAACTACCAGAGCCCAGTACCAAGAGCAAAGACACTCACCAATCACTAGGGAAATTTCAAGAATTTAGAGGTCACCTCCCAGAAAACTAGGGACAGAAGCCAGCCAGATTCTTCTTGTTGAAATTTTAGCAAGGATTTATTTTAGTATAACAGGATAAAATAGGAAGAAGTGGGGGGAGGAGGAGAAAAGATTTCCTGCTCCCCACCCAGTAAATGAGAATAACGACTCAAAATGATGACTCTTAACCTGTATTGACAACAGCACCCATAGTCGTCTTCAGATTCTCAACTGAGTCCTTTACCCAGAAAAATAATAAAAGACCAAGTGCTTTAGCACGTCTCAGTACTACAGTTTTTTCTTGACTATTATAATATGTATGCATTTTATTTACTTTACTTTTTTTTTTTTTTGGTGGCACTAGGGAATTGAACTTAGGACTGTATTTTAATGGGCTATACTGTTTACACATGTGTTACTTTTTTTTCTTCAGATTGAGTTTTGAACTTAGGGCTTTGTGATCTACCACTTGAGCTATTTTGCTATGGTTATTTTCCTTTTTTTTTTTTTTTTTTTAATCTGGTAATCAGACCTAGGCAAGCAGAGGACTGTATCGCTGGGGTTTGAACTTAGGGCCTACACCTTGAGCTACCCTGCCAGCCTTTTTTGTGACGGGGTTTTTCCGAGATAGGGTCTCCTAAACTATTTGCTGTGGGCTGACTTCCAACCCTGATCATCCTGATTGCTGCCTCCTGAGTAGTTAGGACTACATATGCCAGTCAATTTATAATGCTTATTTATTATGTTCGTATTTTACCTAATTGTTCTGTAATTCAGAAGCCCCAATTGATCAAGCTCACAAAACATTTTGGTATTCTTCAGTTGGTTGATAGCATGGTGGAATTGTGACCTCTTCCATAAGAAAAAGGAATAGAGTCCTTAAACTGTTAATACCAGGACATACTAAATAACAGTGGCTGAAACATGTAATATCCAACATTGATCTTAATATGGTGTTGTTACATTTTTAGGAAACTACTAAAGTTCCTGTGGAACCAAAGTAGAATTTTATAAGAACATAATGGGTAAGTTACACAAAGGTAATTTTGTGTTTCTACTAGTAGAAGCTGATTTTTCTTCTCAGTAAAGATAGGCCTTCAGAGTCACTGAATGCAAGTAAGAAAATAGTTAAACTAAAATTCCTATTTCCATCAAATATACATTTGCTGTATGTTGTTGAAAGGCAGATTAGTAACAATAGTGTGCTAAGTCCTTAGCTTACAAAAATAATACATCTGCACATATGAATAAAATTAAAAAAAAATACATCTATATTAGAGGCATTAGTTAAAATAATTTTAATTTTGTTCTTAAAAAGTTAGCTAAAATTGCTAAAAATCTATAAGCCTGAATAGCTTGTAATTTAGAAGCTCATTACATCTTTATCAGTCTCCCATTTTTTAAATATTTTTATTTCTTGGTGGTACTGGAGTTTGGTCATGGCCTTGCAAAGTGTTCTGCCACTTGAGCCATGTCTCTCAGCTTTTTGTTGTTGTTGCTTTTTAATTATTTTTAGTATTTTTTCAGATAAGGGGCTTGCAGATACTGTTTTTGGCCTGGGACTGGCTTCAGACTGGTATCCCTCCAGATTTCCAGCTTCTTCCCAGTTTTTTTATTAGAAAAATTGCAAAAAATAATGCACACTGTCAAAGCTTTCATTGGGTTGCTAATGTTCTGACACATTTAACATTTTACGCCTGAAAAATTCAGCATGCATCTCCTACTTTTAGTCTGTATTCTGAATTTCCTGATTGTTTCAGTAATGATGTTCACAGCAATGAGGGATCACTTATTGTGTTGTCTCTTTAGTGCCCTTTAAACAGTTTGTTACTTTTTTAGGGTGGGTAGGTGTTTTATGACTTTTTTTGAGAGCAGGCCTTTTTTTTTTTTTGAGAGTTGGCAGTGTCTCAAGTGGTACAGTGCCTGCCTGAAGATTGTTCCTCAATTTAAATTTGGTTGTTTCCACGTGATTCAATTCAGATTAAACATTTTAGACAGCAATAGGTGATTTTAATATTTATTAATACTAGTTTTTAAGATTCCTGAGTCAGCTGTTAAGAAATCAGTTGGTGGACATTTGTGGCTAAGCAGTACTTGCTTTATCCTTCTCCTTTTTTTAGGACTCCCTAAATTTTAGAATAAGCTTTAAGATAATTTTCATGTGTTGGTAATGATAAAAATTAAAGTTTTCTGGTAGTGTACAATTGTAAAATGTGTATGTTGAGGAAAGATTTTAAGTTTATATACAAAAATAAATGTGTCAGAAAATTTATATTGAGCAGACAACTGTGGCTGAAGCTAGAATAGTAACGTTTGTGTACTCTATTCTTACCTCTACTTTGATTTTTTTTTTTCTTCTAATTATAAATTTTTTTGTTACAATGCTGGGAATCAAACCCACAGCCTCAAATATGCTAAGAACGTGCTCTACCACTGATCTGCATCCGCAGTTCAACCTGTTTCTTTTTAAAACAAGATGTGATTTCAAAATTATTTCACTAGTTACTTTATTTCAGATGGAGAAGAGAAAACCTATGGTGGCTGTGAAGGCCCTGATGCCATGTATGTTAAATTGATATCTTCTGATGGTCACGAATTTATTGTAAAAAGAGAACATGCACTAACATCAGGAACAATAAAAGCCATGTTGAGTGGCCCAGGTAAATATAGTTCTCTCTTTTCCTTCTTATATCTTTTAATGTTTGGTAAGCATGTTCTGAATCAAATAACTCAAAAGTGTTTAAAGAGAGCAAATGTGTTGGTGCACACCTGTAGTCAAAGCTGTTTTGGAGACAGAGGCTGGAGAATTGTTTGAGCCCAGGAGTTTGAAGTCAAAGTGGGCAACATAGTAAGACACTGGCTTTAGGAAAAAGGGAGTGGTGGGCAGGAATGGTGGTGCACACATGTAATCACAGCTATTCAGGAGGCATTGGGGTGTAAGGCCAACCAGGACAAAAACACAAGATCTATCCCAAAACTCATAAAAAGCAAAATGGTTGAAGATGTGGCTTAAATGATAGAGTGCTTGGCTAGGATACAGTATACCCTACGTTCAAGTTCTAGTACTAGAAAAAAGAGAAAGAAACTCTTTTAACATTATTGCACAATTACGTTGCATTGGAAAGGATACATTTCTGCCATTTTCTGTTTTCTGTTATTTTTTTCAGTATTCTAATAGTGATCATTTTGAAATTGTCAACTTCTTAACTGTAGACTCTGACAAAGTAAATTTTTTCTCTTCTAAAAAAATTCATATGGTATAGAACACTGTTTTAAAGTACACAGTTCAGCAGCATTTAGTACATTTACAGTGCCTGCAGCCACCACCTCTATCAAGTTCTAAAACGTTTTTGTTGTTCAATAAGGAAATCCCATACTGTCAATACCTATTCTCTGTGCCTAGCTTTGGCAACTACCAGTCTGCTTCCTGATTTGCCTATTCTGAACATTTCACATAAATGAAACCATACACTATGTGATTTTTGTGTTTTGCTTTTCCACTTGCTTGGCAGAATGCTTCCAAGGTTAGTTCAAGTAGTAGCCTATATAATACATCAACCTTTTATTTATTTAGTTTTTTGGCAGTACTGGGGTTTGAACTGGGCCTCACACTTGCTAGGCAGGCACTCTTACCATTTGAGCCAATCCACCAGCCCATCAACCTTTTTAATGACTGAATAATATACTGTCGTGTGAATATACCATGCTTTGTTTATCTGATAATCTCAGTTGATTAATAGTTGCGTTGTCTCTGCCTTTTGGCTACCATGAATAGAGCCACTGTGATTGTTCATATACAGGCACTTGTTTAAATACCTACTTTCAGTTCTTTTGCATGTATACCGAGAAGTAGAATTGCTTGATATGTGGTAATTATATTTTATTTCTGGAGGGACCACCAAACTTTTCACAGTACCTGAATCATTTTGCATATTTCTACCCAATAGTATTACTAGGGTTTCAGTTTTATACATCTTGGCCAATATTATTATGTGTCTTTTTGATTATAGCTGTCTTCTACAAGGATCAAATTATTTCATTGTGGTTTTGGTTTGTATTTCCTTAATAACTAATGATGTTGAATCCCATTTCAGTTGTTTGCTGGACATTTGTATATCTTCGGAAAGTGTCTCCTTGGGCCTCTTGCCTTTTTTCCTTTCTCTTTTTTTGGAGACGGTCTTGCTGCCTAACCAGGCTATGTTCATACTCTGAATTCACTTGCCTTCACCTGGCTTCTTACTCATTTTTTTGTTAATTGGGTGGTTTGTCTTTTTGTTAAATTATAAAGTCCTTTATAAATTCTGGATAATGGGCCCTTATGATTTGCAAGTGTTTTCTCCCATACCATAAGTTGTCATTTTCTTTTCTTTATTTTGTGTTGCTGGGGTTTGAACTCCTGGCCCCATGCTTGCTATACAGGTGCTCTGCTGCATGAACCACTCCTTAGTCCACCCCCCCCCACAAAAGTTTTTAATTTTGATGAATTGTGATTTTGCTTGTTTTTTATGTCATACCTAAGAATCCATGACCATGTTTAATATCATGAAGACTTCATGAAGTTAGGTTTCACAATATTTTCTTCTAGGAGTTTTAAAGACTTGCTCTTACATTTAGGTCTTTGGTTTTAAGTTCATATTTGCATATGGTATGAAGTAAAGGTTCAATGTCATTCATTTGCATTGTCGATATCCCACTACTACTTGTTTGATGCATGTGTTTGTTTCTGGGCTCTCAGTTCTCTTCTGTTGAATTATGTGTTTAATGTGGGGGCTTTGTTGTTTTTATGTGTGTTCTACTGGAGTTTGATCTTAGGGCATCACGCTTGCTTGGTAGGTGCTCTACTGCTGGAGCCATGTCTCCAGCCTTTTTTTCTCTTTATTTTTGAGATTAGGGTCTTATTTTTTGCCTAGACCACCCTGGACCATGATCTTCCTGGTGTGTCAGGTACAAACCATCATGCCCAGCTTTTTTTCTATTGAGATAAGGTCTCAAAATTTTTTTTGCTTGGGCTGACCTGGAGCCATGATCCTCCCCGTCTTAGCCTCCCAAGCAAATAGCTAGGATTATAGGCGTGAACTACTGGAGCCCAGCTGATTTACGTGTTTATTCTTATATCTTGAACCACATTGTTTGATTACTACAGTTTGTAGTAATGTTTTTTCAGGGCCGAGGATTGAACTCAGGGCCTAACGTATACCAGAGAAGTGCTTTGCTGCTGAGCTGTATCCTTAGGCCTGTAGTAAGTTTTGAAATTAGGAAGTAGGCTTCTGATTTTATGTTTGTTTCAAGGTTATTTGTGTTACATGGGGTCCCTTACAATTCCTTTTCTATATTTTGCTCTAGTTTTTAAAACACAGAAATGTAATAATGTAATACACCTCCAAGTACCCATCAGTCAGGATGGTTAACATTTTGCCAATCATATTATTCCACCTATTCTGTACTTTTTTGGAGTATTTCAAGCATCTCAACATCATATTATTTTACTTGAAAAATCTGAGACAATTCCTACTTGCCCTCTTCCTTTTTCTCAGAGGGTCATTTGTATAATTTTGAGTTAGTGTTTCATTCCATAAACTCATAGTTAGAATTTTAGTGGCTTGATTACACTCTGGTTCATTTTCTAGAGAAGGATACTTGATAGGTACCATCATTGTATTCCTATCGCCTTTTTAAATTGTCATGTTATTGTTGTACTGACAGTATATTGTGACATTTACAGTAGTTCTTACAATACATCATAGTTGAATTCACCTCTCCATCATTCTCCTTTATCCTGCCCCCCCATTCCTATAATAGTTTCCAGTTTTTCCATTTTGATACATGAGTACATAATATTTCCTCCATATTCACCTTCCTACACCCTTTCCTTATATCCTCTCCCCTCCCATTGGTACCAAACCCCAGACAGGACCTATTTTAACCTTCCTGATCTCTGTTTTTGAAAAATGAATTTCATTGTGACATTTCCATATATATAGGTATTATAACCCTAATGTGTTCATCCCCCCCAGTTTTCTCCTTTCTACCATAGTCCCCTTCTTATGGTGATTTCAACAGGCTTGAAAATTCTGTATTTGGACTGGAAGAGTGACTCAAGGGGTACCTGCCTAGCAAGCATGAGGCCCTGAGTTCAAACCCCAGTACTACCAAAAAAAAAAACAAAAAGAAAAAGAAAAATTCTGTATTCCTTCTTGTATAGAAAATATATCAACCATATTCACCTTCTTAACTTCCTTCTTTTATCCTCCCTCTCCTGTTAGTTATCTCCCTTAACGTGACCCGTTTTTCCTAAGGTTGCTTGTATTTGTACTGTGGCTATCTTCCCAAAGAGAAAACATGTGGCCTTTGTTGTTCTGAATCTGGCTTATTTCACTTAATATGATGTCCTCCAATTCCATCCATTTACCTTCAAGCTACATAGTTTCATTCTTCCTCATGGCTAAATAAAACTCCATTTTGTAAATATGTGTATGTATGTATGTGTGTGTGTGTGTGTGTGTGTGTGTGTGTGTGTATCACATTTTTAAAATCCATTCATCAGTTGTAGGACATCTGGGTTATTTCCATAGCTTGGCTATTGTGAACAGTGCTGCAGTAAACATTGGTGTACAAGTTTCTCTACATTCCTTCAGTTATATCCCTAGGAGTGGTATTGCTGGATCCTATGGCAATTCTATTTTTTCAGTTTTTGAGGAGCCTCCATACTGTTCTCCATAGTGGTTATACTAATTTAATTCCCACCAACAGTGTATGAGGGTTCCTTTTCCCTTCCATCATCAGCAACATTTGTTGTTTGTGTTCTTGATGGTGGCCATTTTAAAAAGGGTGAGGTGGTATTTCCTTTATGGCCAGGAATGTTGAACACTTCTTCATGTGTTTTTAGCCATTTGGACTTCTTCCTTGAAAAAGCTCCATTCAGTTCATTTGCCCAGTTCTTTATTGGGTCATTGGTTTTAGGGGAGTTTAGATTTTTGAGCTCCCTGTGTATTCTGGTTTTTAATCCTTTGTCAGATGTAGAGCTGACAAAGATTTTCTCCCATTCTGTGGGCAGCCTCTTCAATCTGATAACCGTTGCTTTCATTGTGCAGAAGCTTTTTAGTTTCATGTAGTCCCCTTTTTCAATCCTTTCTCTTAGTTGCTAGGCCTTTGGAGTTCTATTTAGGAATTCATTGTATAAGCCTATTAATTCCAGCATATTCACTGCTCTTTCCTGCACTAGCTTCCAAGTTTTAGGTCTTATATTAAGGTCCTTAATCTACTTTGAGATGATCCCCGTGCAGGGTAAAAAACATGGATCTAGTTTCAGTTTTCTGCAGGCAGATACCCAATTTCCCAGCAATATTTGTTGAAGAGGCTGTCTTTTCTCTATTGTATGTTTTTTGGGCACCTTTGCCAAAAATCAGGTGGGTGTATTACATGGATTCATGGTCTTCTGTGCTGTTCCACTGGCCTTCATATCTGTTTTTGTGCCAGTATCATGTTGTTTTTTTATTGCAATTTCTCTGTAGTTTAATTTGAAGTTGGGTATTGTGATACTTTCAGCATTGCTTTTTATCACTGTGTGTGTGTGTGTGTTTACTGATTTTGAACTCAAGGACTTGTGCTTGCTAAGTATGTGCTCTACCACTTGAGCCATGCCCCCAGCTCTTGTGTCACAGTGTCTCATTTTTTAGGATTAGTCAGTGGGATCCAGGGTTATTAAGCTGATTCATCCATGAAAAATTCCATACTTCTATGTAATTGTTTTAGCACCCATTGTGATTGTTGAGATTTCTTTGGTATTACTAAACAGTGATTTCCTAATTCTGTACTTTCTCTGAATTTATTAACTAGAATTGTATAAAGAATTATTTGTTCTCTTTCAGTTTTTATATATCATGAACTTTGATGTTTTTTCAGTCCATTGCAGTCTTTTTTTTTTTGGTGGGACGAAGGGTAGAACTTAGTGCTTCAAACTCACAAAGGAGGTGCTATACCTCTTATGCTACACCTCCAATGTACCAATGTATTTCTAGTTATTTTGGAGGAAGTGGGGTCTCTCAAACTGTCTGCCTGGGCTGGCCTCAAACTGAGATCCTCCAAGTCTTGGCCTCCTAAGTAACTAGGATATTACAGTCATGAGCCACTGGTGCCTGGCCAGACTTCATTTTTATGTCAGAAAGAATCACATCAATTTAGCTCTTATATCCTTTTGACATGCTTGTTTAGTGTTGGATAGGTTGTTACTTTCTGCTAGTCCAGGGTGGTGGCACTCAGGAGGCTGAAGCAGGAGAATTGCAATTTCCGAGGACAGACTGGACTACATAGTGTGTTCCTGTCTTTCATAAAAAAAAAATGATAATCCCCAGGAATTGTCTATAGAATATTCCCCAATCCTGAAAGCAGTTATTTTTCCAAAGAGCCCTGTTTTGTTTAATAGAAAATGGTATTTATGTATTTAGGGACCCTCATCTACATGCTAGAGGTCCTCATTGTTCCTGGGTTGAATGGGTTTTAGGATTTCCCAGTAGACAACACTTAAAAAGTACATTAGGCAAAAAAGTCACAAATGGCAATAGCATTTTAATTAAATTTTTAAATTAAAAATTAAAATTTAAGCCAGGCCCTAGTACCTCATTCCTATAATACTAGCTACTTGAAAGCTGAGATTCGGAGGATCTTGGTTTAAGGCCAGCCTGGCGTAAAGTTTGTGGGACTCCCCATCTCACACATTTGCTCTATGTAGTGACACATACCTGTCATCCTAGTGACAGCAAAAAGGATAAAATACGAAGATCAGAGTCCAGGCAGGCCTAAGCAAAAAGCAACATCCTGTCCCCAAGATAACCATAGCAAAAAGGCATGGCTCAAGGGGTAGTGCAAGCATGAAGCTCTGAATTCAAACCCCAGTACTGAAGGAAAAAAGAAAGTTAAGTTAAGTCCTCTAAGTTAAGGTTAGAGGACTCGTTTTGAGACTGGGTCTTTTTCTGTTTTGGAATGTATTTTTTATTATCATATTATTGTTGTCCTGGGGGTACATTGTGACATTTACAAAAGTTCATATTATACATCATAGTTAAATTCTCCCCCTCTACGTGAGACTGGCATTGAACTCATACTGCCTCAGCCTCCCAAAGTTATTAAAGTGTTTTTGCTTTTTGTAGAATTGATCTCCTTTAATTAAAAAACATGATTTTTGTCTTTAAAGGAACAGGAAGACAGCCCAAAACTAATGCATACATTTAAAAAAAATACAAGTATTAACACATGCTACAGTGTGAATGACTGCACCTCCAAAACTTGCTAAGTGAAAGAAACCCAAAACAAAAGTGATTTCATTTGTATGAAATATCCAGAATAGATAAATCTATAGAGATAGAAATTAGTTGGTATTTCCCAGAGGTCATGAGATGGGAGAAAACCAGGAATACAAGGTTTTGTTTTAGTATGATAAAAATGTTTAGGAACTAGATAGGGGGAAGTGGTTGTACAACACTGTGAATGAAATAAATGTCAATGTCTGCAAACTTTAAAATTATTGGTTTAGGTTGTATGAATTTCATTTTTTTTTCTGGTGTGTATGTTTTTTTTTTTTTTTTTTTTGTAGTGGGGGAGGCTCATGGGGAGAAGATTCCTTTGGGTAGGACTGGGGTTTGAACTTAGGGCTTCATTTTTGCAAAGCAGGCGCTCTACCACTTAAGCTGCACCTCCAGTTCCTTGTTCCTTCTTCTGTGGTTGTTTTGGAGATGTAGGTCTCATGAACTATTTGCTTGGGCTGGCCTCAAACCTCAATCCTGATCTCAGCCTCCCAAGTATGCTGGATTACCAACATGAGCCACTGATGCCCGGCCTATATTTTTGTTTTTTGAAATAGGGTCTCATTATGTAGCCTAAGCTGACCTTGAACTGACCATCCTCCTGCCTCGGCCTCCTGAATGCAGGGGTTACATGCATGCACCAGCCACATCTGGCAGCGGTTATATGAATTTCACCTCAAACTCCTGCCCCCCCCATCTTTATCTGGTATCAAAAGCCTGTTGGTAATATTTCATATATATATTTAAGAAAAGCAGTTTTAGTTATTGACAAAATAAAATTTACCTCATTGCTGTGAATTAGTACTGATCATACTTCTTTCATCCTAACTTATCGCCAATCAATAGAAACTAGAAAACTTTAAATAACTGCATTCTTAGGAGGTATATTTTTAGATGTGAAATGCCTTTTATATTCAAATACATAGTGCTAGTGCACTATTCAAGAGTGAATGATACAACATTTATGTGACCAAAGAAGTTTTGAGTAATGATGTAACTGTTTTATTTTCTTTGTTTTTATTTTTTTTGTGGTACTGGGGTTTAAACTCAGGGTCTTGTGCTTGCCAGGCAGATGCTTTTTCCTCTGAGCCAGGCCTCTAGCCCCTGAACTGTGTTATGAATTGTTATTAAACAAAGAGAAAGGTCTTAGGAGGAAATCCCATTAATATGGTCTTTTTTTTTTTTTTTTAACTACATTTTGCTGCCTGAAATGTTCTGGTTTCTTGGCAGTGCTGGGGTTTGAACTCCAGGCTTCATTCTTGCTAGGAAGCCACTCTACAACTTCAGCCAGCCACTCTCCATCAGCCCTTTTTGTGTCCTCATATTGGATGCCATCCTACAGACCTTGTTTTAACTTCAGTACCTTTTTAAAAGACTTATCTCTGAATAAAATCATTCTACTGTATTAGATGTTAAGTCTCCCACATATGAATCGGGGGACATTATTCAACCATAACATACATAATCCTTTTGTTTTGCAGGTCAGTTTGCTGAGAATGAAACCAATGAGGTGAATTTTAGAGAGATTCCTTCTCACGTTCTTTCAAAAGTCTGCATGTATTTTACCTACAAGGTTCGCTATACTAACAGCTCCACCGAGATTCCCGAATTCCCCATTGCACCCGAAATTGCACTGGAACTGCTGATGGCTGCGAACTTCTTAGACTGTTAAATAAAATAAATTATAATAAACTGTTAATTTTTTCAGTATTTAATACCTGTAGTTCAGTTAGTAATTTTTTCATATGTAGCATGTTGCCTGTATGCAATTGAACTATAAAGTTAATTGCAAAGCAGATTATCTTCTGTTCTTTTGCATAGCAATCAGAATTGAAATTTGTTTGCTACATCAACAAGTTAAGGACGTTTTCACAAACAGAAATAAACAAATATGCCAATTCGTAGGTGGTTTTGCTTTATCTTTTGGATGTGAATTAAAATTACAACAGTGATGATGATAAATGCTGAAATGTAGGCATGAGTGACATGTTCTACAGGTAAATAATGGGGCTAAGTATTTTTATGTTTTTAGTATTTTTTTTATAAACCAATTCTGATCTTATAGCCGCTGATAGCATTATTAGAGTCATGCAGATAATTACATGAAAAACATGTTTATAACTTAGCTAAAACATTGATTTTTTATAACTCTCAAAGAATAAGAGTTGAAATTTCCTATGTGTTTTTGATAAATGCAGTATTGTTTAAGTGTATCTTGTGTTTTGTTTATTGCTACGATTTAAGAACATTATTTAAAAGCAGTTTTGGAAGTTACTAGGTACAACTTTTGCAGCAGCAACTGTTTGAACTGTAGCCATATAGTCAACAAGTGAACTACATGACTTAAAAGTTCCTGTGCATTGTGCCTTTGGGGCAATCCAAAGTATTGTACTTTGTACTTCTGTTGACTATAAAGCTTCCTTTGCAATTTTCATTCTTCCTTCACAGTTTCTTGGGATTACACTTCTACTTGTTTAATGTGTGTTAAAATACTCCTATGAACTTTATATGAATCTTAAAGCTAAGACTTTTCTTTACTATTCTAGTCTTCCTCCATCTAATTGGAATGTTATAAAACGTGGAAAGCTGCAGTGAAAATCTTAAAATGTACTTACAGTACATGAACTATTTAAAATATGTTCCAATAAATAGAATGAATATATTCCAATAAATATAGTCAGTGGGTCTTCTGAAGTCAAACTCACAAGGAAGCTATTTTATATTAAAAAGGCAAAAAAGCATTTGAAAAACTGTAACAGCATCTTTGCTTAGGCATCAGAAAAGAAGCACTGGTGTTAGACTTATTATGTCTATCTTAGTAGAACAGAGTTGTCATAAAATCTATAAATTTAAAACTTCAGTTTATTTATTAAAATTAGCTGAGTATAAACCAATTTTTCTGGTAACTGCAGAAACCATAAATAAAAGTAACTTCCTCTTAGAAAACCAAAATGTGTGCTTTCCAGCTTATTAAAAAGTGGCTAAATATAAATTACATATTTTTTAGTGACTTCTTTGACATACTGGTACATACTTAGAAGTATGTATCAAGTACAAGAATTATATTGTAGGGCTGGGGATACAGTTCAGTGGTAGAATGTTTGCCTAGCATGCATGAAATTCTTGGTTCAGTCTCTAGCTGCCAAGTATTTTCTGCTTGATAACAAATAATACCAACTATAAACCTAAATGATGATTTTAAAAGACAAAAAGTAGAAACATAGGTTTAACTTACCAGTTTTTGTAGGTTACTGTATTTGTTAGTTCCAGAGGTAACCTTAAGTTTCGAACATTAAAATAGAAGTTCAAGACTAGGCAAATTTGTATATCTTGCAGCAAATGGTACTTGCATGTTAATAAAGGCTGTATTAACTTAAAGGTATGATGAACACTTGGTGTTTGCTCTTTTTAGCCTTGTCTCTTCTTCATGAATAATTCACAAAATTCTTTGCTTCAGGGCATCTTGGCATATGATTGAACAGTGTGAAATTTAATTTGGTTAAATTTAAGATAGTTATTTTATGTAGCATCGAAATCTTAGTTTTCTGACAGTGATTAGCTTTGCATTCTGTGTGAGTCTCCCCTATATATATTACGTATGGTATGTTTTATACATACACACACACACACACACACACACGTATTATGTATATGTATGAATGACTGCAGCTCAGGCTTGCTAGGCAGATGTTCTGTCACTTGTGCTGTGCTTCCAGCCCTCCCTAATATTTTATACACAGAAAATACTACCATAAAGTTTTTTAGTCAATATTTCATTTTTATACAGTGTAGGTTATGCTTTTTTCCCCCTGTAGTTTTTATCAACAATTTCTTTACTTGTAAAGGCTCTTGTCAATATTAAGAAATAGAATTTATTATATAGGAAATTCAGCTCATTCTTACAGAAAAATACATGCAGACTTTCTTTTTGTGTGTGTGTGGAACTGGGGGTTTAAACTTAAGACTTCACACTTGCAAAGCAAGTGCTCTTCTGCTTGAGCCACACCTCTAGTCCATTTTGCTCAGGTTATTTTGGAGATGTGGGTCTCATGAAGTATTTGCCCAGGCTTGCCTTGAACTGTGATCCTCCTGATCTCAGCCCCCGAAGTAGCTTGGATTACATACATAGGCCACCAGTACTTAGAAAATGTAGCCGTCTTGCTCTATGAATCTCTTGTCTTGGTGTATGTTGTTTTGCTACGTTTGTCAATTTTTCTTTGAAAAGAGTGCAGATGTAATGTGGTTCCTGCTTGTAATCCTAGCTTCTAGGGAGGCTGAAATCAGGATGATCATGGTTTAAGGTCAGCCCAAACAAATTAAGAGACTGCCCCCCCCCATCTCCAAAATAACCAAAGCAAAGTGGATTGGAAGTGTGGGTCAAGTAGTAGAGCACCTGCTTTGCTAGGCAAAGCCCCAAGTTCATGGAGGCAGGTATGTCATGAGTTCCATGGCTCTACATACTGAGACCATGCCTCAAAAAAAAAGTGTTTAACTCAAGTAATTCTTATATAAATAGAGTTGTTTGTTTGTCTGTTTTTTCCTTGTACTAGGGCTTGAACTCAGTGCTTACATCTCAAAGCCACTCCACCAGCCCCTTTTTTGTGATGGGTTTTTTTGAGATAGGGTCTCAGGAACTATTTACTTAGATTGGCTTTGAACTGTGAATGACTGCGGGCTTCTTTTGTTGTTTTAAGCAAATATTTATTAGCCTAAAATTATTTTTGGTATATTAAAGCACCAACCTGGGTATTAGAAAGTCTAGCTCTTAGGCTGATTAGCCATTTGACCTTGAACAAGTCGCTGGTCTTACTTCCTCCATCTCTAGTATTAGAAGTTGGATGTCATATAAGGGGGTAGAAGTAATACTTCTACCACTGTTTGTTGTTGTTGTTTTGGTTCTTGAGGGTCAAACACAGGGCTTCTAGCATATGCTACCACTAAGCTATATCCCCACCTTCCTTATTTTCCTTGTAAGAAAGTGTCTTCCTTTGCTGTCCAGGCTAGCCACAAAATTGTCATCCTCCTGCCTCAGCCTCCCCAGTAACTAGGACTGCAGGTGCTAACCACTCTCAACCCTCCCACCTTGTTTTTGTAAAGAACAAGAGTATGTTTGTCAGTACTGCTAACACCCAATATTGTCAAACTTTAGGTGACCAGATTGAAAGAATTACGATTTAGAGAGAAAATGGGGATTTTGCTGCTTCTGGGTTAGGCATTAAATGTCACACATCAATACTAAAACTTTGAAAGTTTAAAATGTTATTTTTTATTGCCTTCTATATAGCGAAGATCCATTTGTACTCCAGCTATCAGTAATTGCTAATATAAAGGGAAATTTATGTTCTGTGATTACTTACCAATATAGTTAATGTCAGGCCAACCTGAAAGACATTTTTCATACATGCACTAATTCAGCAATTTATCCTTAATTAAATACATGACTTTTTAAGTACTTCATGTGCCTCTAGTTGAGAACAGAAGACTGATTTTATGTCTTTTTCTAAGGTGCTGGGATCAAACCCAGGGATCTCAGACGTATTAGGCAAGTACTTCACTACCGAAGTACACTCCCATTCCCTGGAAGACCAATTTTTAATGCAACACTCAGTTTACTTTCTCCACTTTACCTAGCTTGGTTCCTTCCACCCTCACTTTTTCTAATTGAGAGAATTTTAAAGTTGCTTTGAGGTAGTCTAATGGTTTTAATAATCAATTTGTTCTGTAAGTTTTGTCATTTTAAAGTGGTCTTTTTTTCTTTTACGGCAGTGCTGGAGATTGAACTCAATGTTACCCATGCTCAACATGAAGCTGACCACTGAGTTACAACCCCACGCCCCAGGTTTTTACTTCATGTGACAGACAGAATCACAGGGTCCAACCAGAATTGGGTTTTCTCTACCTCTAAGCACTAGATGCTTATAGTTTTTAATATAAGAATATTACATTTTACCCAGATGTATATGATTAGACCTTTACAATAACCCAAATTGTTTTATTATTTAGAAAAGATGTATAAATTGACAGACTAGGATAAGAAGTTCAATTGTCTAAAATCCTTTCATTATAGCCTCCTTTTTTTTTGCATCATGAAGATCTACTCAGATCTACCATTAAATTTGCCGGGGGGTGTTTAAGAATAGAATTAACTAGGTATATTAAACTTAATGCAGATTTGTCAACTATATATTTTTTTGAATAAGCATAGTATCATTTCTGCTGTAGAAAACAAGTTCCTGTGTCTGAAGTATGATTTTGAATTAGGACAGTTTTTGTCCTTCCATAATTTCATTCAACTGTCTCTCAAAGTATAAGCCCATCTTTGTTAAAGTATTGAAATAATATACAAAATATGAAAATGATGGAATTGAAATAGGAAGTTGATGCATGAGGTGTGCCTATAACAAATGCTTTAAAGCATGTATCATTTCCCTCTAAAGGAACATCTTTCACTTAGGAGGACTATTTTTGCTCAAAATGATTCTGGAATTACGTTTAGAGCTTACAATAAATGATCTGGGGGGGGATTTTGATTTGGAGTTTGGTTTTTTTTGCAGTGCAAAGGAAATTCTAGGCAAGCAAGCCCATGAATGTTCTTTTAAACAAACTCAGTGATGGAAAGGGCTTTTCTTCAGATGTTTCACAATAGTCAATAAATCTTTTTGATCCAAACCTATGAAATAAAGGTTAGTTGTCAGGCTGGATCAGGATAGAAATGAGCGTAGTTTTCTCATGTAACCAGAAACCTGACCCAGGTAGCATGTCATATTCCAGAATCAAATTACAACTTTGTAGTCAAATTAGTTTAATATGACTTGAAAACAGTAATTTCATAAGGTGGCCCTTACTCACATGATTTTGCTGCACCTCCTCACCCCTGGTAGTACTGGGATTTGAATTCAGGGCCTTGCATTAATCAGGTGTTATACCACTTGAGCTCTGCCCCTACCCCTCAGATGACTTTGTTAAAGCTTTTTTTTTTTTTTTTTAAAGACAGTGCTTGTCTGTAACCCAGGTTGGCCTTGGAATCACGATCCTGTTGTCTTAGCCTCCAGAGTGTGCACCACTAAACCAGGCTCAAACTATTTTCTTTTGTTGTTTTGGGGTGTTTTGGCAGTAGTGAGGTTTGAACTCAGGGTCTCACACTTTGTAGGTAGGCACTCTTAACCACTTGAGCTACACCACCAGGTCTTTTTTGTAATGGTTATTTTCAA